TCCAGCACTGTACCTATTAATGCCTCTGATCCAAGTAACTGTTGCTTAAATGTGGCTTGCTCTGTACGTTTGTGTGTACTTCAAATACATGGGGGTTTTTTGAAATCTTTGGAAAATCCCACAGTCTGTATCTTCAAGGAAGTTTACACACAACTACTGAAGAAAACCATGGGCAGTTTGCTTTCAAATTTTTCTCAATACACAAATAAAACAACAGGCTGGGGAACAGCCTGAGGGCAGCAGTCAGGACCAGAACCACCTGGTATGAACACATGAAGCTGGTCTGGTCTCCACTGTGAATAGCTCATAATTAAAAAGCAATAAAAATTTTGGAAGCAGGTTTACTTTTTTTAAAAAAAATGGAACTTTAATTTTAAAGTTATTTTTATGCTTTCAAGGAGAATAACCTTGCTCATCTGGGCAGTCTTAGTTGGGCACCAGACAGGTAACCTTAGAATGCATGAGCATTGCTTGCTAATGCTGGAGAGGCAGAAAAATCAAGATGCCTCTTTTCAGGAGGTCAAGGTAAATTAAAATAATTTAGGCAAATTCCTGTTTTTCCTTCTGCCCTCATCCTTTCTCTTATCAGAAGGAAAGTAAGTAACTTGAGAAACTGATGTAATCACTAAACAGAAAAATACTTTGGACTCAGACAAGAAGTGATCAGTTTTCATCAGCAGTATTTCTAATCATACTGGTCAGAAGTGAGGTTCTTTATGGTATTCTCTTAATCTACTCTGTGTTCTAGATTTATATTGCTTCACTGGAACTAAAATGTTTCCAGGCACATTCCTGAAGGGGCTCTGCCATTGCATGTTTCTGTTTGGGCATGTGCAAATGCATTTTGTAGAGATGCCTGCCACTGTGGTGAGCACTAACAAACGTTAGGCAACTGAATGCTGCCATTTCCACAAGCTGGTCGCAAAATTTGAAGTTTGTTATTAAACATGGTTTCTTTTAGTAACCATAGAAAGGTAACTCTGGAGTCTTGTCTCTGTGGCACCTATGTAAATCATGGGGTATTACATGAACAGGGTCATGAAGCTCTGCACTTTAACATGAGGAAGTTGACATAAAACCTCAATTTGTTATTGAGAGGTTTTTTTGGATAGCTGCAGCATTGACTTTGTTTGGTCTCAATTACCCATGCAGTTAATGTACCTGATTGCCCCCACAGACACCTTATGTAGATGTGGCTACTTCAACAAAATGTCCAGAGAGCTATCCACACATCATCTCCCCATGGACCCATGTGAATCCTGTCTCTGCAATACACTTGATTCCAGATTTGGGTATCTATACTTGTACTACAGTCCCTAAAAACCATAAGGTGATAGTTTGTTCATTAGTTCCAAATTAAATGTGTCAGGTAATTAAGAAATATACTATCAATTCCACATGAGCTCCTTCTTGTGCATGCTTTCTTTCCAGACTCAACTTAGAGAAGGTCCTTTTTATTGTCTGTCTGCAACACAAACTATAATTTCCCTTCCACTCCTGGCATTTCCTGGCATAAATATTGATCCTTTTTAATGGCACAGCCTCTGTGATCATTAAAGCTTTACTGGGGTAGAGTCACGTGTACTGTGAACACCCTACATACGTAGGAGGTTCTTAAAATACCAGAGCAGTTATAACACAGTAAACAGTTTGTGTTATCATCATTGTAATTTCACAGGACACTTGATTATATAATTATTTTTTTTTTTAGTTTGGATAAAACACTCTCAAACTTAGGCTTAGAGATGAATTTAGGCTTGATCTTCAGAATATGAATCTGCACAAAATTAAGAATCCAAATAAAAGGGTCTTCTGCCATTTCAGCCTTGTCACCAGCTGATTACTGTCATTTGCAGGACTGTTAAGGAACCTGTGCATCTTCTGGTAAGGCAGCACATTCTTCTGCAAGTTGCTACAAAACAAGACATCTTGCATCTTTGCAGCTGCTTTCCATATGAATTTCTGCCAAATTAAAAAATGGTCAAATACATACCAAAAAAAAACCCTGCACAGCTGTTGGACTGCAGTTTTCTGTGGGATGTTTATGGGCTTTCCCATCTGTAAAATACACCTCCAAGTTGTTTCTCAATGGGAAAAAAGCAATTGCTGGCATCTTTATTCCATGGAAAAGGGAAAACTATTTCCCATGTGCCTAAGTGCTGTGGTCTCAAATGAAATGGAAACATTTAAACTTTTTAAAATAGCCTTCTAAATCACAATGCAGCTGAGCAAACGCTTGGTAAATGGGATCTATTAGGATTTTATTTGGCTACTTCAGTGCTGCCTCTTGGGCAATATTTCAAATCCAGAAGATAATATTTGTAAAAACGCAATAGATGGAAAAAACAAGAGCGAAGGAGGAAAATTAAAACCACTTTTTATGTTTAGTAAGTTCAAGGGTCCTACATCAAAGACTACCAATGAATTCCAGGAGGCCACTACATGTGACTTCTACCTAGAAAATGCTGAGGTATTCAAATGTTTCTTTGAAATACTCCTAATCAAAAAGCCATTAATATTAATGTAATAGCAATTACTCTGCCATAGATCATTATAAACTAAAGTCAAACTGAGAAGAAAGTGCCAAAATATTCACATACATGCTTTTGCTATGATAGTCTCCTGGTAAGGCTTAGCGGCAAGTAAAATATGTATTTGTAAAAGAGCTCCACCTGATTTTCTTGCTATGCATAGATTCAGGAGTAACTATCATACATGGCTTTCATACAGAACACATGTATTTTTGTCGTTTGCTAACGCTGCGTCACCAGAACTGAGTTCGGCAGAAGGCTCAGGAGGGGACTCTGCAGGCAGTGCTGGTGTTTGAGGAGTGTCTTCTTCCTTGGTGTCCAGCTGCATGCTTTCTTGCCCCTGACCGTCCACGCAGTCCTTTTTGGACAACGGATGAACTGACACTTTTATTGCAATCTGTTGAGGTGGCTCGTGCAGGGAGGACGCGTCCGAGTCGGCCGTGGGAGAGTCCCTGCGCTTCAGCGCATCGGGGACCACGTACAGCTCCTCTGCCTTGGCGGCCTCCTGGCCTTCTGCCGCCTGCCGCACGAAATTCTGCCCTTGCTCCTCCAGACCGACCACCTCCATAATTTCTTCCATTATAGTCCTGCAGTTCATGATGAGAGGGGGCAAAGGTACGCTCCGAGCAAGCTCTTCAATATAGCGAGCAAACTCCATGGTCTTAAACTGGGTTACTTTGGCTAGCTCCAGTGTTTTGGCTGAAGTGATAATTGGGATACGCTTTGCAATCTCAAAGGCTTTCTGGAGTTTCTCTGCTCCTTCTGTTCTGAAGAATTCATTGATTGCTTTCTCAGTTTTCTTCAGATGACTGCTCATCATACATAACCGAGTAATGTTCAGTATCATAACAATGGTAAAAGCTACAAGACAGACAATCATGTAATAGATTCCCATGTCTCCGGAGGTAAAAACCACCCTCAGTGTCACAGTATTGTTAACACTGCCGTACGTATTCGATGCAACACACGTGTATTTACCTCTGTCTTCAAAGGACACGCTGGTAATGTTCAGTAGCCCGTTGTCAAGAAACCACCATTTTCCTGCTGGAGAGGAGAGACAGTAACTTAGTTTGAAGTATTTTGTTTGCATGATCAGCACAGTCTTAAACATCAGGTTTGTCAAACAAGCTTCAAATTTTGAAAGATGGAAATAACTTTCACAGGAAGACAAAGAATTGACCATCATAAAGGCCTGTGTGTCCCTGAGATCCTGGCTCTGTTACTAACTGTGACAGTGCATTTTACCCCTCATCAACAGGACCCTTACCTCCGGTTTTCTGCTTTGCTGCTAACGATGCATCTGTGTGTCATGACTGCATCTGGGTGGAACTATCCCACCTTGCTAAGACGGATTCAGGGGAAATACATAACAATACCATAGCCATGGGCTAGCCTGAACAATATGTTCAGGTGTGAGAACAATAGGAAATATGCCTATAAGTCAGTCACCTCACCCCCATAAATAGCAGGCAGCTCAAAAGCCCGTTGAGCTCTGCATGGCAGCTGGCTGCGCTCCAGGATCTCCCCTTGAGCTGGGACACTCCAGGGCTGAGAGATTCCTTGCCACAACTAAGTTTTATATATATGTATACACACACACCCCCTTTGCTAAGGGTGCACTCAGTCTTGATTGTACCCCTAATCTCTCTTTAGCTGGTCCTCTGTGTAGTAAATAATCAGGTGTACCTCACCATCGACTTTTGTTTCCTCAAAGCTGCATTTACTGTTTCAAACCTTGCTGAAAAACTGTCTTGTTTCAATAAATATATTGTTACTTTCCTCTTGTGAGTGAAGTGCATAACTCCATTTCCTGTGACACGATCAAACCCCTGACATCAACTATGATTAATCAGATCATGCCCTGAAAAAATGCCTCTTTCAAAGGAAATACCAGCATCTGTAACAGATGATACTTCTTTCTCTATCTCTAGAATAAGAAAAATACAGGGTATTGGCTGATGACTATTTCTCCCAGTTGCAGTGCTGGCGCACTAAATCTTTATTAATTGTAAAATGACAGGATGCCTTGCTGATGTATCCTGGTGCCAGCTGCTAGAAATTACATCATGGCATTGAACTATGACTCAACAACTGGCTCTGTGCCAGCAGGTCCTCACAAACAGTGTAAGGCTAACAAGCAAACAATGATAAGAAAAGGTGTCACGACTGGAGTTTGATAACAATTCAATGCCATACTGAACATAACTGCATAGGTAGTAAAGAAAAGTCATGTGCTAAGAAACATTTCTTACAGGAAGACAGTTTCTTTAAGAAGGAAGTGCACTATGCAAAGTCTAACTTAAAGTGATGTTGCCTTAATAATACAGCTCCAATTTTTACTGATTTGGTCAAAGTTTTTGCTCAGCTATATAAATTTTTGTGTTAGTAGCTACTCTCTCAGTTGACTATACAAAGACCTAAAGTTGGATGGCTAACTAAAGGGAAAAATTTCTGTAAGTGAGCCTTAGTAAAATATTTTAGCCCACTAATCACAGTACACTGCCACAAATTATATCTGGAAGTCTGCTTACTAGTAGTTCCTTTCTCTAGCTTTACTCAAAAAAAATTACAAAATATTGTACTGTAAAATATAACCAGCTATGCAGAATGCTTTTACAGACAGACTCTGCTTTTGCACGTCCAGCTAGGTCAATCATTACCCCTGTCAAAGCAGTTCTCCCTCTCAGGTCGGCTATTAGGCAAGCTCTCTTGGTGTTAGTATGAATAACTAAGAGTTTATTTCACCATGCTGTGAACAAAGCAGTCAGTATGGAAGGATTACATGACGAAAACACCTTCCACCCCCCTGAAATGCTGTCTAGCAGTATAACTAGGATTATCATCCAAACTTTCCATTTAAGGAAAACAAGCTCATGCGTAATTAAGGTCTCTGGCAAATGCAGCTGAAGAGTGTTAACTAAAGCCAGGAAGGCTCAAACCTGGCTTCCACTTCTGACTGCTGCCCTGTATAGGTTTTTCTGTTGGTCATTCAGGGCATCTCTTGTTTCTCACACTCCCCGGCACTATGCATAAAGACAGCAGTGGTATCAGGGAGTTAGCTGTGTTGAATTCATGCCAACAAACTATTTGCATGTCTAAAGAACCCTCCCTTGAGTTGGAAAATAGCTTTTTAGTCCTTCTTGGTGCCAGAGAAGAACAAAAAAGGATGGAATGGGCAATAGGGCCAAACCCAAAGTCTCGCAATGAAAGGAAGCCTGGCTACACCTTCTGTTAATTGCTTGAGCTTCTTGCTATGTATTGCTATAAATAAAACACATTAAAAAAATGTTATGGTTTTCTTCCCAGGTGTGCACAACAAATTTACAGCTGCCACTGGGCTTTAATGTATTTTCACACAGGAAAACACCACAGTCAGGCCATTAAATCCAGATTATTAGCCAACCTACTAAAATCACAAGCATCTCTGGACAGGCTCCATCAGTGACAACACCAAGATCTTACCTTTATTCTCCTCCTCTTGGAGCAGGCGGCCATTGGAATTGTACCACCTGTAATGTGGACCAGGACTACCCTGGACACTGCAGTCGATCAAGGCACTACTCCCCTCCTTGACTATAATGTGGTCAGTGTGGGAGATCACCACAGGCACAGAGCCCAGGGTCGTGTCAGTGCGGTTGGAAGTGCTGTTAGTCACATCCTCAGCCACTGCCAGAGCTGCCAGCAGGATGACAAGGCGCGTGGTGGGCAGAAAGCACAAAAAGTGGTGGTTCTTCAGTACGTTCATTTTCCTTCAGAAGTGTGTGCAGCTGGCTGGGAACTGGAATCAGTCCTGTGGAATGCAGGCCTTTGAGGTGAGGAGGTAACAGGCAAGTTCTGCTTTGATTCGTGCAATTTTATGTTTAAAATACCCTATAAAATAAATAAGTACAATGAGATAGCATGTACAAACAACCCATTAGATGTGCTCTTTTAAAATAGTGACACATCCATTAGTGCATTTCGCCATCACCAGCTCAGTGTCTTGTCTAAATGCTAATGTTAGCACAGTCCTTATTCTTACTGGAAAAAGGTGCATACGTTTTCCTGACAACAGTGTTCAGAGTGGCAGGCGTGGGAGAAGGCTTTTATAACCTAGACATTTAGCACCAATTTAGCCACAGCAGCAGCTACAGTTTTATGCCGAAAGTTCCGCTGATTATCTTTTTTTTTTTTTTTTAAACATTTGCAAAATCAACAGGAAAAACAAAGGTACAGCACATCAAAGATGTCACTACCAGTTCAGAGCCACAACTCTGTCATGTGCACAGCCTTGGGTGAATTGTGGAACATGGTGTAAGAAAGAACTGCTCCTGGAAAGGTTTTTTGGAGCTGATGCTGGAATCCTTAACATACTCAATTTTGTCCAAATACAGTTGCACATACAGCAAAACATCTCAGGCCGTTCATTTTTTTTAAACTACTGCATTTGGTTTTAGTTTCCAAGATAAACACAACAAGGAAGAATGTTCTTAAAAGAGGATATTTAGGACTTGATAAAGTCATTTCAGTGTCATTTTTAGAGCAGATTTAGAATGAAAAATGCTTGCTAGTGACATAATTATGGGTAAGGTCTCTTTGAAATACAGACGAAGTTGGGACTTTTCCATTCCTTTATGTGGAATTACGAATGTTGCCTGTATACTTTTTGCAGTCTCACTACAATATTTTCCCTCAACTGATCATCTACAATGAGCCTCTTCTTAAAAGAGTGATTTCAGTCTGTAGACAGAGGAGGAGGGTTACAAATGTGCTCTCTGTTGGCCTCATTATGCTCCCAGTGAACACAACTGGCATTCAGTACTGCCTGAGGGCACAACGCTGGCCTCAAAATAAGCACCTCTGAAAATTTCACTCAAGAGTCTAAAGGCCACAAATGATCTTAAAATCATATCAGGGTATCTAACTACACTGGTTTTACTCATGTGTTTCTAAGGTAAATAACTGAAACTTAGTGAAACTTACTAGTTAGAGGAATCTACTCGGAATCCCAATATAGGTAATTATCTAACAAACTTTCCACAAATGACCATTTCATTTGCATAACTGTTACATTTTATTAAAGATCTCATGGACAACATGGTAACTCATTTACCTTAGCCTGGAAAATGACTGCTAATGAGGTTAGGTCACTTCCATATATAAAGGAAATACTAAAAAACAAACAATACCCTTCCCTCTTTTCTTCTTTATTCAGAAAGGAAAGAAAACAACATTACTGTCTCTCATTGGTAATATTTGACTTAGACTGTTTTCTTCTCCATCCTCTGTTCTTTGTAAAGCAATGAACTTGATTTCATGCAAGTAGATACAACTGGTATTAAAAGAGCAAAATAGTTTCCTCCATTTTACAGGACAAATCATTACTAGAAATGACACACTATGGGTTTTTTTCAGATGAGCTGCATGCACAGTATGGATGCCTGTAACCACTCCAAGCCTGCCCTCATTTTTTCTGTTTTTCTAAATATTGGATATGGAAATATTTGTCTTGAAAAGCCAGAATAGTTTTAAACTTTAAATTAATATGCAAATCTCATTTGTAATATAAAGCTATGTAAACAATGTCTTCAGAAATCCATCTCCGATTATGCAAAGCATGTAGAGCCTGTGCTTTTGAAGTTCTGTACAGATACAGCCTGTCTGAATCTGCACTTTGGAAAAAATCCTTCAGTTCTGCCTTTTCCCTTCAGTAACTATTTACATCTCATTTCTACTACTCCATTAACCGTGGAGCCTGTCATTCTTTATGGTTACACAAACCCCCTCTGTAAAAGGTACAGTGTTATAGATCTGCATTGCGCCACAGAGAAAAGCCAAAAGACACGTCACACTTCCTGGCAAGAGAGCAGGAACAAAGACTGGCTGGAGTAAGACAATGGGAAAGGCAAAAGAACAACATAAACTGATTAAGTTTTGTGTTGCTAATTACTAGCTGTGGCTTGTTCTTATTGTATTTGAGCCTCCCATATTTTTTGATGGCAGAAAAAGTGTTTAGCGTGGGGACCAATTTGCATTCCAGAAGGAAATGAAACAGCATCAGCCCAACGGGTGAATAGAAAACCTATCAGGAAGGACCCACAGTGATTTGGGAAGCTCAAGGCAGCTGGTGGCCCACCAAATCCCTACAGCTCAGGGGTGGTGTGGATGGGTGTTTGGAAAGTGTGTGATGGCAGTAACAACGTAGTGTGCCTGCTCTGTATATTTACCTGTGTTTTGCATAGGGCATGTGAATGTAAAACCTGAACCTTTGTGTAGCAATAACAAAAGTGACTGGTTCTTAACATGGTCAAAAGGCCAATAACTTGCCTGAAAATAACAGTGACTTCCTCACCCTGGCACAGAATCGAATCATAAATAGCTGCAGTAAATTTTAAGAGATAGAGTCAAATAATTTATGGATTCATAGCCACTTGTGTCACTCCTGGGAATGTTATTTTCCCATGTATGTTCCTGGGTTGAAGGATATTAAGAAAACACTGTGTCAATGCATTTCTGTTTGTAGTATAACCAGTTTGATGGCTAGTATGAGGAATAACCAGGCAGCAGATTTAAAACAGCATGCTTGGAAATGGTGGCTGCTGCTTTCACGTGCCACCAGACAAGTGCTCTTGATGGACACGTCAGTATGTTCAAGGAGTCAGGGAGAGATCTCTCTGAAGAATGATGTCTTAAGAAACAAGTGTAGACAAATGTTCCCAGGACAACCAGGAAGTGGCAGGGAACCTTTTCTTAGGTGTGCATCTTCTGCACTGTTAGTGGGGAACAAAAAAATGGAAGAAACCAAATGTTTTCTTAGCCTCACCTAGCACAAGAAAGCTAAAATGGTGGTTGTGCAGGGACATGCACGTCCAGGACTCTCTGCTAACCTGTTGGGTGGGAACAAAAATGCCAGTGTCCCGTTAGGAAAGTGGGAAGAAACAGAAGGAGAACTGAAAGGGTAGAAAATGTTCTCACACCAGACTATAGTGCAAAGGGAGATCTCCTGAGAGTTTGTGTCCTATTGCTTTGCCGTAGGCACCACAGCAGCCTTAGGATATCAGGAAAGACAAACCTGGGAACCAGCTGCTTTGTTAAACATAAGCAATGTAATGGGTTATGATTCAATCACAAAACTAAATGGGGAAAAGACTGAAGAAACCAAAATAGGAGTGCTGGTGATGCCTGCCCATTTCTGGCAAAGAAGCAAGAGCATCTGGAATATCAAAGTAGGAACAGTGCTGTCACCCTGAATCTTGGGCATGAGAGGTGGTAATTAGCTGTGGCCCATGATAAACCTGATAAAGGCACCCAAAATTGTAACCTCTCTCTGAGGTCTGCAATCTGACTCTAAATCAGAGAAAGCTGGATTGACTAGAATAAAACAAAGGTTCCTGTAACAGCACTTCAAGACTGACAGTAAGACAGGACACTAATGGAGGAGGACATCAGCAACACTGAGTAGCACTCTGTAGGAACAGACTGAGTCTCTGGGAGCATTTTTGCCACAAAAGGGTCACTATAAACAAATTAAATACCTGGTTGTGGAAAGAATGTAAGCATTCCTTTCTCTCATCCCCAAAGCAAGTGAGCTACCTGTAAAAGACTTAGAAAAAGTGAAGTTTATAATATATTTAATGTGGTTATGTACACTTTTATCCTTTTTATTTTTTTTTTTTTAACTTTAAAACTGTGGTGAATAAAAAGGAAAAAAAGAACACCCCTGGCTGTTCTGTGCCAGCTTTTCCACTCAAAGCTGTAGTCAGTGACAGGCTTTCCTCCCAAGATGGAATCAGAGGAATCCCCAAACTCTCCTCCAATACCTTAGACGTCTATATAGGTAACTTACCCTGCTGTATTGTATATGTAGCAACATTTACCAATGGAAGATGGTTGCCAGCAGTCCTTACATCACTCAGAGACATGTTCTGATTGACCATTTAACTTTTCATACCACAGATGAGTTTTATCCCAGTATTGCTGCCACTGGAGAAAAAGACTGTGGGTGAGGGGCCACCTTTGTCAGGACTGCATCTGTGCAGAACAACATGATGACAGAGCACAAAAGAACAGAAAAGGAGGGCAGTGATGCATGCCTTTTCCTGGCTCCCTCACTTCTGTAAGACTGGCCTGTTCTTGTTCTTGGAATAATGTGTAATCCTATTAACTGTGAGGTTATTCAATTCAGAAGTGAAGCGCAACAAGCTGGTTTATTGTACAATGCATAAATTATGTTCCTGTAGCTTTAACATCCCAATGCTATCTCCCTTGGCTTTTAAATGATCAAGAAAATGAAATAATTTTCAATCTAGTTCTCATTTGTCTATAAATAAGTATCAAGGATGATGGTACAAAACAAAATTAAAGCTAATTCTTTATTATTTGAAAACTATTTGCTACCTTTCCTAGTTTCCATGGGCAATGCCTTGACAGAGTTGGCAAAAGTAAAGTTAACAGGTTTTACTGGAACAGGAATGCAAATGAAGGGACTTAGGTGACACAGAAGGTGAGAAGCTCACTGCCATTTCAGACGCTTAAGAGAGAACCACCTACTGAAAACGTTAAGCTACTACAGTCCAGACATAGAAATGAAGAGAAATATCCCTCACTTCCAGCTAGCAGACACCTTCTGACATTTTTGTAGTCATTTGCTAGTCAATAAAATATTAAGGCTCGGTTTTGCAAGAGCTGTTCTTTAGTGGGGATTTCAGTCCTTCACAGCTTCATGGTTTTCTGCCTCCCTGGCTATGTTGAATAGGTGGCAGGCTG